ATATATATATGTCAAATTTTGTGAGGCCACACAATCTTGCAAAATTTTGTAAGGTTCTAGCATTCTCATCAAAGCATGCAAGTTTTTGAGGATTCCATAAGATTTTGTCTGTTACTGTATTTGGTGCTTTTAAGTTACTGTTTTTATTTTGGGGTTCTTTGTATGCCATCTCAGTGTATCACGGATGCTTTAGCACCACTTGTACAATGTTGGTCAGCCCTAGTTAACATTTGTATAAAATAATATCAAAAGTAGTCTGTAAATTATGATAAACATACACATGTATACCTATCCAGCTTTTCCCTTTCAGAGTAAGCAGTTATGCAAAACGCAGAAAAGTGATATAAAATAGTAAGCAAGAGAAATTAGAGGAATAAGCTAAGAAAAAAATGAAGTACGCTGTGTCCAGTTTGCATCAAAATCATTCACAGTACTTCTTTATATATTTCTATCTTTGCAAACAGTCCTTGCTTCCACTATATCTATACATCAATTCATATATTGCTTTTCTTACTAACATCACTAACACCATCCAACCATGACTTTCTCAGTGTTCCCTTTCTACTCAACCCCTTTCCTCTTCCTTCATAGATGTATTTTGTGGTTTGATTTTCATTCATTCATTCCGGTATATTAAGGGAAGCTGGATTGGAAGAAGATGAGCATGGTTTTAAAACTGGAGAAAGAAACGTCAGTAACCACTATGCTGATGACACTACTTTGAAGGCTAAAATTGCAAAGGCTCTACAAGCTCTAATAATAAAAGGCAAGGAGCACAATGAAAAAAATGGGATTAAAATTAAATATAAAGAAAACCAAACAAATGACAATAGGTACAACAACCAGCCTTAGGATTGACTGTGAAGATATCAAAGTGGTTAGATAGCTTCCGCCTTTTAGGATCAACCATCAACAGTAAAGGAACAAGCAGTGAAGAAATATGCCACAGACTAGCACTTGGTAGAGCATCCATGAAGGCCTTGGAAAGGCCTCTATATCTACCAAGATCAGAATAATGCAAGCAATGGTATTCCCTATGACCATCTATGGAAGCGAAAGTTGGACTTTAAAGAAACAGGATAGGAAGAGGATTGATGCGTTTGAACTTTGGTGTTGGAGAAGACTCCTGAGAATACTATGGATAGCCAAGAAAACACAAAATTGGATCACTGAACAAATCAACCCAGGGTTCTCACTCAAGGCACAAATGACTAGACTCAAATTATCTTACTTTGGACAGTGAAGACCTAGCTCTCTGGAGAAGATTGTAATGCTGAGATATGTGGAAGGAAACAGAAGAAGAGGATGATCAGCAGCAAGGTGGATGAACTCAGTTACAGTGGTGAATGCATTGTTGGAAGACAAAGACAAGGTTAGAGACAGATCTTCATGGAGAAAATTGTCTGTGTGGTTGCTGATTGACACCAACTTGATGGCAGATAATCAATTGATTTTCACTCATTCTTGGTCACTAAGATGGAGTTGGCAAGAAAGAGTAAACTCTGTCATTGCTCCTCCAGCTTAATATTTTCCAACATTCTTCCAGCATTCATGGCTTCTTTTTTATATTTTTTTCTTGGACACTAACATGTATAGCATTTGTTTCAGTTCTACTTTTCAACATTCCCATTTGTTGTTGTTTAGTCGTTAAGTCGTGTCCAACTCTTCGTGACCCCATGAACCATATTGCGCCATGCCTTCCGGTCCTTCACTGCCTCCCTGAGTTTGCTCAGTTTCATGCTCAGCCATTCCCATACAGATCTCTACAATATTCCTTCCAGTCTTCCATCCCAAATAATTTCATCACTTTTTACTCCTTTGTGCTGGAGACTCCTTGTTTAGCTCTTTTTCATACATTTCCAAAACATTCTTTTAAATTTCAGTCAAAATTACTCACATTTTCTCTACTTCTTACTTTTCACCTGGGTAAAATTATATGTGAACTTTCTTTGTAGGACATCAGCTACTTTCACTTTCAGAAGCCCATCTAACAAATCCTATTCACCCCCATCCCCTGCCTGTTGTCTGGCAGAGAGGACCCAAAGGAGCAAGGTGAAGGCTACAATCTCTCATCAAGATTTCCAGCCTCAGCTACTTTAAGCAGTGCAGTAGTTATCCTGTTTCCAGAAAGGAGGCAAGGCATGAGCTGTGTCTGAGATCCATTGTTCACTAGGTTCAATCTGGGCAAGGGTTTCTCTGGGGAATGCTTTCTTGCAGTTTCCCTTTTCCTATCAGAGACTGTTCAGCTCTGACTTTTTCTTCAGTGATACTATGCTGTCCGTGGATCTCTAAACCCACTAAGGGGCAGTGGGTAGAACCAACCAAGCCCAAAGCATGTTCACCATTAACAAACTAGTTGCATTTCCTGCCTAAGGGAACTATGGAATGGGCAGCTATACCTAGCTGGTAACACCTCTAACTTTCAACAGCAGTCATTTTGAGAAAAGGAAGAGATATACTGATAGACTCCAGTGAGTGAAGGAGAACCCACTCACTGTAGGCATCTACTCCGGGAATAACAGCTACAGATCTTCTCCATTGTCAGTTGAGAGCTACAGGCTGCATACTGACACACTTAAAAGTACTTTTGGCAGCTTTTCTGAGCTTGGTTTTGACAATTTTTCATGATGAATTATTTTTATTACTATATTTTAAGACAGCCATTGAAACCAAGGGCATTTGAATTCTCATAATTGTACAGTTTTTAAGGCTCTGTTTGCATATTCATCACGATGCATTAATTAATTTAAACTCTGTTTAGAAAGCTTTTCAGTTCCAAAATGTAGGATATATTCTATGAAATAATTGGACAAATCTGTTAAAATTATACAGACATCAAATTAACCATTAAATGTGGAGTCTTAAGAAAATGCAAGAATGAAAACATTACTGGCTAAAACGTTAATATTGCACCATTTGTCCAAAATGTACTCCTTAATTATGTTGATCAATATTTAGATTTCACAGCCAAATGTTTAAATGATCTTCTGCTTATGGTAACAGGAATTTAAGTTCATGGCACAATCGCGTTCCCCTACTGTGTCACCAAGCAAGCAACCTGCGTCAGAAACAGAAAGCGCCGTAACTCTTTTTGAGCAGTATCGTAATGGAGGAAATCCCTTTGAAATCCAAGCCAACAACAAGGATGATGAGACAGAAGATGTGCTGGCTTCTAATGGGGCAAGTAAAAAAATTCTGTAACCCTTAGTGTATATAGAATATCAACCAACTGATTCTTAAAAGAAATGTGACAAAATAATTAGGAGTCAAAAGGAAAAGGTGATTTGAAGCACATGAGAACTTTCACATTGCCCATAGTTTAAGTGTTATTACCACATCATATATAAAGGAAAAAAGTAGTCATTAATATATTTTAGCTCCAGACCATTTAAAGCTGTAAAAGTATGGGTTAAGGTGGGGGATAATGATATATGATGATTTCATTTGTGTTGTTGTTGTTGTTGTTGTTGTTGTTTTTCCTCCTCCTCCTCCTC